ACCTGTGGACGCTTGATTTTTGACCATAAAATGAGCCAAGCTGTACCACAGGGTAACAAAAGCATCTTCAACAAATACTAGGCTAGCTGATATCTCCATGTAGAAGAATGTGAATAGATCCATAAATATCACCTCACAAAACTCAAGTCCAAGTTGATCAAAGACCTCAACATAAAACTGGATACACTAACTCTGAGAGAAGAGAAAGTAGGGAATAGCCTTGAAGGCATTTGCACAGGAGACAGCTTCCTGAACAGAACACCAACAACTCAGGCACTAAGACCAATAATTAATAAATGGGACCTTGTGAAACTGAAAAACTTTGGCAAGGCAAAAGACACTATCAAAAGAACAACATGGCAGCCCACAGAATAGGAAAAGATCTTCACCAACTCCACACCTAACAGAGGACTGACATCCAATATATAGAGAGAACTCAAGAAACTAGACAGCAATAAACCAAATAACCCAATTAAAAGTAGGGTACACATCTAAACAGAGAATTCTCAACAGAGCTATCTCTAATGGTCAAGAAGCACTTAAAGAGATGTTCAACCTCCTTAGTCATCAGAGAAATGCAAATCAAAACAACTCTGAGATTCCATCTTACATCCATCAGAATGGGCAAAATCAAAAATTCGTGTAACAGCTCACGGTGGCGAGGATGTGGAGCAAGGGGAAATTTCTGGTGGAGTGCTAATTTGTACAACCACTTTGGAAATTATTTTGGCAGTTTCCTAGAAAACTGAGAATAGTTCTACCTCAAGACCCAACTAAACCACTCCTGGGCATATACCCAATAGAAGTCCCATCATACCACAAGGACGTTTGCTTAACTATATTCATAGCAGCTTTATTTGTAATAGCCAGACACTGGAAACAACCAAATGTTCCAAAACAGAAAAATGAATAGAGAAAATGTGGCACATTTACACAATGGAGTATTACTCAGCTATTAAAAACAATGACATCATGAAATATACAGGCAAATGGATGGAACTGAAAACTGACATCCTAAATGAAGTAACCCAGATCCAGGAAGACAAAGATGGTATATACTCACTTATAAGCAGATATGAGTGATAAACAGGGTACCCATGCTACAAACCACAGACCCAAAGAAGCTAGCTAAGTAAGGAGGACCCAAAGGGGGGAAACTTGAATGTCACTGAGAAGGGGAAATAGATTTGACATCAGGGGTGGTTGAAAGGAGGGGACTGGGTGGAGAGGGGGAGGAGAACAGGAGGGAAAAGGTGGGAGGGAAGATGGAGGGAGAGAGTACTGGAAGAGACAACTGGATTGGGAGTTGTATCTCTGGGTGGAGCTAGAAACCTAGGACAATGGAAACTCCCAGGAATCTATGAGAGTGACCCTAGCTATGACTCCTAGCAATGGGGGACATGGAGCTTGAACTGGCCACGTCCTGTAACCAGGAAAGACTTCCAGTGGAGGGATTGAGACACCCACTCAGTCATAAAACCTTCAACCCACAATTTGTCCTGCCTGTATGATGTGCAGGGATAAAAAGATGGAGTAGAATTTGAGGGAAGGGCCAACCAATGACTGGCCCAGCTTCAGACCCATGCCATGGAAGGAGCCCACCCCTGACACTATTAATGATATTCTGCTCAACTTCCAGACAGGAGCCTAACATAACTGTTATCAGAGAGGCTTCACCCTCTCTGATAACAGCGAGCGATGGAAACAGATGCAGAGACCCACAGCCAAACATTAAGTGGAGCTTGGGGAATTCTACTGAAGAGGGGCAGAAGGATTGAAGGGTCCAGAGAGGTCAAGGACACGAGAAAATCTACAGAACCAACTAACCTGGGCCCACAGAGGCTCACAAAGATGAAACCGACAACCAGAGAGCATGCGTGGGATGGACCCAGGCCTTCTGCACATATGTAACTGTTGTACAGCTGGGTCTTCTTGTGGGACTCCTAAAGTGGGAACAGGGGCTGTTTCTGACTACATTGCCTGCCTCGCCTGGTCTCAATAGAAGATGCACCTAGTGTTATGGTGACTTGATATGCCAAAACTGGGAGCTATCCATAGGAGACCGCCCCTTTTCTGAGAAGTGGAGAAGGGATGTATGGTGGGGAGATAAAAAAGAAGAGAGAGAGAGAGAGAGAGAGAGAGAGAGAGAGAGAGAGAGAGAGAGAGAGAAAGAGAGATTAAAGGTGGGTCTTGCTAATTCAAATAATTTAATTAAGAAAAAAAATTGCAGGTTTACCCAGCTTCGTAAGTTTTAGTTAATTTCAGCTGTTGTCAAGTTGGCATCAAGAATAGCCATCACACACCATAAGAGTAAAAAAGCAAAAAGTAGTTTAAAAAAAAATCAATTTAGATATTTTCAGTATATAACAAAGTAAGCATCCCCATTTCAAAAGGAAGAAGAAGAAAACCCCAAGAAAATAATGGGCCAATGCAAGACTAAAACATAACAGGAAACAAATCCAAACCCTGTAACTCCATAGCTGGTATCTGAGATTCTTAGGTACGTTATCCAGATTCCAACAGGTCTTGGAGGTTCTGCCTTTCTGGCTTTGCCATGGGCAATGTAAGTAGTCTCTCTCCTGGGCCAGTGCCAGTCAGTGTCTACAGCTCTCCTCAGCAGGCATCCCACCTACCCAAATCTACATTTGGAGCCTCCGCTGTAACTTGGCCTTCACCCTCACAGCTCCATGATCAACCTGCAGAGCCTTCCCTTCTACACACTGGTTGTACCTATCAGCTCGTCTCTGAACCTCCGTGTGGTCCAGAGAACTAATCGCTTTGTATGGTCAATGATCTAATCACTGGCGTATCCTGGATGTCTGTCAAAAAACAACCCACACAGGTGATGCCAAGTTCTGCTAGTTTAAGACGTAGTTTAACCCTCTTGGATCACAGTTAATGTCTTAGTTGGGGTTTCTATTGCTGTGTTGAGACACCATGACAAGAAGCAACTTGGGGAGGAAAGGGTTTATGTGGCTTACACTTCCACAAAAGTTTGTCTGCCTCACACTTTCACATCATCACTCATTGAAGGAATCAGGGTAGGAACTGAACCGGGAGGAACGTGGAGGCAGGAGCTGATGCAGAGGCCGTGAAGGAATGTTGCTTACTGGCTTGTTCCTCGTGGCCTCCTCACCCAAGAGTAGCCTTACTCACGATAAACTGCACACGCGCGCGCGCGCACACACACACACACACACACACACACACACACCAATCACTACAGACTTGCCTGCAGCCCAATCTTACGTAGGCATTTTCTCCATTGAGGCTCCCTCCTCTCCGATGACTACAGCTTGTGTCAAGTTGACATAGACAAGCCAGTGTAGCCACAGTGGACTCCAAGTGCCTAAGAGGCTAAACCTAAACCAGATAGAGTCTTTCCTACTCTGGGAGTAAAGCTTGGCTTAACACAGTGAGCAGCAGCAGTGCCGCTGTCTGATTCTTATGGTTTCCTGCAACTTATTTTCTCCACTAAAAGTTATTCTTTTCACTTCCTCTTCCTTCTCTTTCTCCTCCTTCCACTTCTTCCTCTTCCTC